TTTAAAGAGTAAAGCTCTCTCTGAGACATGGGAGGGCAGATCAATCTTCCCTTGACCTCTGGGGTTAGGAAGTCACACCAGTCACAGTGAGCAGTCACTGTAGAGATCAGTTCCTAAACTTGGTCTTCAAGTCTACTGGTTAATTAATTAGTGTTTCAGTGATTACTTTTGTTGACAGCCTTGGTGACTTTTGGCAAGGTTGGGTCAGCTCATGCAAGTCCAGACTTATTATGGCAAATCCCCCTGGCTTCTGGGATGTGAGGCGTGATCCCTGTATGGCAGAAGTAGCACCTCATTAGAATTAATTGGGAGGATGAATGGAGGAGTAAGGGCCTCTCAATCAATTAGCTGATGGCCTTGGTGCCATGGGGAGCAGGTAGGCCTCAAAACATCCCATAATATCCAGGTTGGCCTATACCCTGCTGTGGTAGATGCAGCTGAGCAGGGAGCTCTAAAGAGCATGTTCCTGCCCTCCCCTGTGGAGGATAAAAGCCAGTAATTCAATAGCTATATTCTTCCCAATCTAGAAAAAGTTGGGGTTTTGATAAGAATTTGATGGGGCTGGAGAGATGCCTCAAGAGTTATAAGAGCACTGGCTACTCTTGCAGAGGACCTGGGTTCAGTTTCCAGCATCGATATGGCTGCTAACAACTGTCCTTTAACTCCAACTCCAGGAGATCTGACACCCTCTTCTGGCCTCCACAGGTATTGCACACATGGGTGTACTTACATACGTGTAGGCAAAACACATACATAAGTGAAAAAAAATGTTAAAAAAAAAAACTTGGCTAGACACCAAGAAAAACTAACATCCATGTTTACTTAGGCAGGCAAGCAGGAGAGAGGGCCTGGACTGGAGCCCCCTGGAGCATCTGATTAAACCCCTATCTGCAGTGGGATGTGGCATCCAGCACTTCTCACATCAACACTGGCTTCTGTGACTGAGGGCTGGTGCCAGGTTGCTCTGGAACTTGTTTTCCAGCAGAGTCATGAGGGTGATAAAGCGGAATGGCTCTGACATCCTTCTAGCTGGGATGGTTTCTGATTTGGCAAACTGGGTCCCTTCCAGCACAGCAATGTCCCCAGAGACTAGGGAGTAACCTCTCTGCCCTGTCTCCGGGGTTTCCAGGCAACAGGTAGCTCTGGGCTCCATTGGGAGTTCCCAGGCTCAGCTTTCCCAGGTTTGGGAGACTATCTTGCCTTACAACAAAGCTGGATGCCAAGGGCCCAGGGACCTGCAGGCTCACATCCTACATCAGGTTCCAAGTCTGATATGCCCCCAAGACAGGAGCCCTACCTCCACCAGAGTCTTCTCCCCAAATCCTACGGCTCAGTAGCAGGCAGTGACTCCAGCTTCTGCACAGAGGTCATAAGCTTCCAGTCTTCACTGAAACCCCTACTGTCACCTTCCCTGTCTTCCCTCTAGGAACCCCAACCTGCCCTCCTTCCTCCTCTTGGGGCCTTCTCTGAAGCACATGGCCACCCCTGAAATCATACTCAGAACTGGCCCTTTCTAGCCATGCACGCAGTTGCTCTAAATACCCAGTTGGTTCTTTGCCACAACTCTTTGGCCCCTCCCTTTGATTTGTCATCACCTGCACTCCCCACCCCCAACTGCATCTTCCACCTGCCTACCCCTCTTCACCTGATACCAGAGGCACATGGCTCCCCCCTGCCAAGGCTGGTCTCTTGGTCTGTGCTCTGATCCTCTTCCCGCTTCATGGACATTGCTCTTTCCCCAAAGTCGCCACTTCCCTTTCACATTTACACAAGTTCCCCTCCCTCCCATTGTAAAACAGGAAGATGTCAAGAAAGAAAAGCTCTCTAGGTCTGCTTTGGCTCCCTCCATGCCAAGCCTTGCCCCTCCTGTTGGGGACAGCTGTTTCCTTTCCTGTCTGAAGGACAAGGGCACTCTCCAACCCTCCTGTCTCACTGAGCCTGACTCTGCCCTTGCCTCATGTACTCCATCTTGTCCCTGCAGCCCAGACCAGTGTTTTGGATGCTATACATGGAGCCAGCTCCCCACAGGGTGCTTCTACTTGCATGGTCCACAGGGTCCTCCCACCCACGAGTCCATCTGACTCAACTGTCTGTCCTGCCTCAACTGTCCCCTCTTTCTATCTCCATCTTATTATCAAGTGCCTACATCTGCCTTCTGCTCTCTAAATCAGAAAGCCAGACACACATCCTGCAAGGCTTCCTTTCCCTCCCACCACATGCAGTTCTTCACAAAAATTCTGAGGAAGCAGCCGCCCAACTCTCACAATGGCCCTACTTCTTGATGCCCACTGCCAACATCCTGGTCCAAGACGCCATCATCTCTCACTGGATGCCCGCCACAGCCTCCTGATGGTTCTTTCTCCAGAGTTCCAAGCCTCATGAAGCAGCCATGGAGGCTGTCCTCCACAATCAAGAATCCGTTGTGCAGCTCTTTGCATGGTACCTGCCCTCTCTGCTTCAGCCTCCATGTTCCTAGGATCACATGGGCCCAGCCTCCTTACCTGGCCCATCTCATCTGTTGTTCCCACTGCAGACTTCAGTCAAGTGGGACATGCCATGTGCTGGCTCTTAGAACCTTCACACCAACTGATCCCCAGCCTGCATGTTCTCCAAACCCTTTCTCACCCGGGGAAGTTCCAACTCAGCTTCCAGGCTCCAAGGAAGCACCACTTCCCTCTGGGTTGTTGGGTCTGCTACCTCTTGTGTCCCCTTCTAACTTCCCTGAACCTCATCTGCTATTCCATACCATCCTTATATCCCTGCTTGACCTTTAGCTCTGAGAGGTCAGGGCCTGAGTCAGTCTTAGTCACTGATTTTCTTTTTGCAATTTTTTTTTTTTAAACGGGCTCACTTTGTAGCTCAAGCTGGCTTCGAACTGATTTTTATAGCCCAGGCTGGCCTTATACTCACAGCAGTCCGCCTGCTTTAATCCCCCTCCCCCTTTAAAATGCTGAAATTACAGACATGAGCCATCGTACCCAGTTTCCTTTATGGCTGACTGTAGTACCTGGCTCAGCACTAGTCAGTACTAGATTAGTCTTTGTTAATAAATGACCCCTCCCTGTCGTGCCCTTGACCCCCACTGACCTCTGACATCTGCGGGAAGAGGCTGATGGCCAGTGGCAGGGCCAGGCCAAAGGCTGCCAGGCACACAAGGCTTTGCACAGGCAGGAGCAGTCGTGGGCGTGCCTGAAGGAGAGCTGTCCTGTGGGGAGAGGAAGGAAGAACTCTGTGAGGCCCAGAGAGTGGGCTGGCTAGCTAAGACTGTCACTCTGGGTCCCATACTACCTCAGGGCCAAGGCAGCTGGTTCTGTAACCCTGGAGACTGTCAGCCCCTGATCCTGGGAAGACATGCAGGCATGTGAGATGACCCTTAGAGGTACCTTGTAAGTAAGTAAACAGCAGGCAAAGCCCAGTAGGTGCCATCTAAGGGGGAAGACAAAGGACACATGAATGCACACACATGTGTACATGCACACAACACAGGAAGGGCAGTCCTGTCCTTTGTGTGGTAATGGAAGACATCCCACTGACCACCACTTCCATGCAAGGATCAAGAGGAGAGTAGTGATCTGCCCACACCCAAGGGTAATTCTGCAGGCAACAGGCAGGACCCCTACCTGGTCTCTGACTCTTTGTGGGTGCTGTCACCCTGAGCTGCTCCTGGCTCCCAACTCCAGGACCCTTTGCCAGCCTTGCCCCCCAGCATGTTACAGCCGGCACCCACTCCCTATGGCAAGTTTGGATTCCTGGGCTGGAAAGAGGCATGACAAACCTCTCTGTAGTGTGCTGAGTATGAATGAGTTCCCTGGACAGAGGGATCACCCTAGCTGGCAAGCACCCCTTTACCACACTTACTAGAGCCTTCTATTTGGCATAACCTATGACATTCCACTCAGGGAGACCTAGTGGAGCCAGCAGGATGGATATCTGGACCATTTACCCAACGATGTTAGGTAGGTACTAACCCTGACCTCAGTAGCCACAACAGCCTCTCATGTTGGAGCAGGTCTGGGCCAGGCACAAGGGAGAGGCCCTTGCTACCATCTGGATCTTAAATGTCCTCAAAAGCCCATGCATTAAAGGCTTAGTCTACAGCCTGATACTATTGGGAGGTGGCCGAAACTTTAAAAGGTGAGGTCCAGTGGGAGGTCTTCAGCTCACTGAAGGGCTGCTCCTGAAGGGGATAATGGAACCTGAGTACCCCCTCCCACCTCTTTTCACTCCATGTAAAGGGGCCAGCTTTGTTCTGCCACCTACTTCTACCATGATGCCTAGGAGGCCCAAGGTAACAGGGCTAATGGGTGATAGACTAAAACATCTGAAACTGTGAGCCAAAGTAAACCTTTTCTCTCTATAAGTTGATCATCTCAGGTATTTATTAGAACAAGGGAAAGCTAAGTAATCCAGCCCCCTGGGGTTACAGTACCAGTGCCAGGGCAGGCAAACCCCCTAGCACCCTCAGCTTCTGGGACAATCCCAAGAACACCTGGCCCTGATCAGACAGCAAAATTGGGAACAGCAGTTCTCAGATTTTCATGTGCATTAGAATAGTCTAGTTAAAAGTGTTAATTCCCCAGGGCTCCTCACACCATGGGACTCTCCTTCAGCTGGCAATAGACCCAGAAACTGGCATTCATAAATCACACTTCTCAGAGGCAGCTGCCCTTCTATGTTCCCATTCAGGTATGAAACGAGACCCATCTGCATATGAATTCTATGTAAATCAAAAGGTCAGTCCACTAGGCCTCAGCAAGTAAGCGTCCACCATTATTGCTGTGGTACTGTCCAGTTACCTGTGCAAAGGATATAACATCCTGACAGTTGAGTTGTTCTCCTGCCCTTTTGGCTGGCTCAGACCCCACACTCTGTATAGATGTTGGATTAAGCCTAGGTTGAGATACTAGGGAGTGGGAGAGTTTCTTCAAAGGGTTAAGATGAGCAAGACAAAGGTTCCTAAGTCAAGCTCAACCCCTGTAGGAGTGGTAACTCATTAGCCCTTGGGTACATGATAATTTCATACTTTCCAGAATTAGTCCAAGACCTCCTGGGTTCCCTCTAGAGTCACAGAGGGGTTGGAATGTGATCCCCCCCCCCAACCCCCAAGTCTTGTGAGTCCTGCAGCTCACATCAACTTCTCAAGCAAAACAGGGCAGGTGAGACTCAGACTAAGGTGGCCATTCTGGGAGGGTGTGAAGTTTCTGGAAACACAGCCCCTGAGGGTCACCTAGAGTAGAGAACCCTTCTGTGGAGATTGTCATCTAGGATCTTCTCAGAGGAGGCTGACTGAAGTCCCTTCTGAGCAAAAGGGTCCAGGGAACTCCAGGCCTGTGCTTCCAACTCAGCAGGGAGCAGGCCCAAGGCTGTAGCCTCTGCAAAGCCCAGAGTGGGTCTGGAGAGAGAATATAGGGAGACGGGGGAGGGGTGGAGAGGGAAATGGCAGGCAGGGATAGGAAAAGCAGCTGGGGGAGTTAAAATATGCAGATGGAGAGATGTGCGAATGCCTGGAGAAAGGAAAGACCCGGAGATTCCAGGCAGTGAAGGAGGCTGGGGATCAGACTCAGGGATCCGCCGTGGGTGGGGCCTGGACCTTCACCCAGCTTCCACTCTCCCTGGTTTGCCTTTTCAGTGTATCCTGAGGCAGGGCTGCAGAGCTAGGGGAGAAAAACTATGGCCCTTCTGTCCCCATATAGACACCTGCCTCCAAGGGATTATATCTGGGGGCCTCTGAGCCCTGAATCTGAATTCAGCTTCCTCCTAGGCCAAACTGGTAGATGCTGCAAGGAAGGTACATGCTCAGAGTTGGGGGGGAATGCTTTCTGCATTAGTTGAGGCCCCTCTACTTCTCACTTGCGATGTCTTTAGATCTCAGAGCCAAGGACAATGGAGCTCAGAGTTTCCTTCCACCTGTCTCATCCTTTAGGTCCAGGCTCCAGATCAGAGTGCTCCTCTAAGAGAGGATAGGCTGAGGCCAGAGGCAAGCAAGTCAGGCCGCTGCCACACAACAGCTGGTCCCCCATTGCTGTGCATTCCTTCAGCACTTGCAGTGCAGCTCTACTTTGCACTCCATTAATTTGCAAGTCAGCTGCTTTGTAAGTGTGCTTTTGTATTTTCTCCCAGGCTGTCCAGACTCCCTCACCCAACCTGGCTTGGGGGTGGGGGGGCTGCCCCTTCTAGTCACCCTCCTCAGCACTCCTGTATCAAAGAACTCTGGGCTGCATGGCTACCAGTTCCCTGGGGGAAAGGGCTGCTGGATAGTGGGAACCACCAAGCCTGGAAGAGGGAGGAGACAAAAGAGCAGTGTTCCCACTTTCCAACTAGGAAATTGAGGCTGGGAAAGCTCCATGACCAAGGCAGACTGGCCTGGCTGTTGATTTCCTACTATAAGCTTCAGCTGGCTCTGCTATAGAACCCTGCCTCTCCTGTCACAAGACCTATGATTCTACAGTAGGTGTGAGATTAATGTCTTTCAGGGCACAAATGAGATCTTTTTCATCTTGCTATTCCTGGAGGAACTCAGGCTTCTGTGCAGGGTAGTAACCTCCTGGCCCTAGTGGGGCAGGCAGATAATAAGCAGCAGGCAGAATAACCTCAGGCTTGTATAAGCACTGTGAAGGGGAAAAAGGCATGGTAAAGGCAGAGGGAGCAGTGGTAGTCAGGGAAGGCCTCTGAGGAGGCAAACTGAGAGACAATGGGGATTCAGTAATTGCTTAAGAGCTGCTAGCTATTATAATTAGCATGACCAGAACAAGGTGGGCTCCAGCCTGAGAAGCTCATGTCCCAGAACCTCACATGAAGTGCCCCCAACCCTGTACTTTTCCTACACTTCCCCCAATCTCAACCACTGCCTGGAGGGGCCCCACAGGGCAGGCATCCAGGAGGAAGGGGTGATGGATCAGCTGCTCACTGGCACTTGCACATCAGGCTCAGCACCTCTATGCTCCCTCCACCTAGGGCCTTTCACTGCCCTCCACAGGCAGGTGGACCCGGATTCTTCACTTGTCAGTTCAGACTCTTTCCAGCAGCAACCCAGACTTCACCATCCTATTTCATACTCATTAATAAATAGAAGCACTCTATTATTGGTACTGTGGTATTCCCTATATTCTATGGACAGTGACATGACAAATAGTTGTCCTTTGAGCAACTATTTGAGGGAGCCAGGGAGATTCTTATTCCAGTTTTATAATTAATTTATTGGGGGGGGTTGCTATTTGTTTGAGACAAACAAACCCCTGGCTAGGCTGGAATGTGGTATATAGACCAAGCTGGCCCTCAAACTCACAGACATCTGCCTGCCTCTGCTGGAACTAAAGGCATGCATCACCACGCTGGAACTGGAGTTACAATGTGGGTGCTGGGAACTGAACACTGGTCCTCTGCATGAGTAGCCAGTGCTCTTGACCATTAAGACATCTGTCTCTCCAGCCTCTAGCTCCAGTTTTATAACTGGAGAAATCAAGGCTTAGGGAGGTTGAGTTAGGATAGATGCTTGCAAGTGGTGGCACTGACTATATCTAGTCTTCCTGCCTCAGACTGTCTTCACAACAGGTTGGCACTGCTTGCTAATAGGAATGCCTAGAGTCCCACCAGCACTGCCAGCTCCCAGGGCAGATCCAGCCGTGTCCATAGGCTACCCAGAGCAGCACTGAGTACTGGCCTGCATAGGAAAAGTCCATAAATTCTCAGTGGAGCATATGATTCCAGCCCCACTGTGTGGGACAATGGCAAGCAGAACAGGATGCTTTCTACCCCAGGAACAGAGTGGGCAGGTTGCCATGGCTCCCTTGCCCCTTGCTGTAGGCCCATGGGTCCCTCCTCCACAGTGTCCCCTCTGTTCCCACAGCCTGACTCACTTCTCCAGCATGGACATGACGATCGGAGGAAGAACCAGGATGGGCATGGGCAGGACCACTCGTGTCAGTGCTGTCTCCAGCAGGGCCTGAGGGCGGGATAGGTGGGGGTGAGCAGGGCTCTGTGCTGGGGACAGCCACCAGGCAGCAAATCCCACCCAGAATCCTAGGTGTGTGCACCACTGTTCAGCACATGTGGCAGCCCCAGGTTACTCACAGCAGTGCTCACAGAGCCAGATCCAAACATGAGAAACATCACCTCACCCTCATCCATAAGTATTTGGAAAGAGCAGATTCCCTGCACCTGCCACATGGTGGAAAGGAGGCCACAGAAGTGGTAAGGTGCTTCAGACAACAGAGGTAGCTTTCCTAACCTGAGATAAACAGAGGTCAGGGGTTGGGGAGGCAGGAGAACTAAGATGCCAGAATAAACAGCTGGTGCTCACAGAGCCAGGCTAAGAAAGGCCAGGTTCTGGGGGTGGGTTCTTCTCTTCCTTCCTTCCTTCCTTCTTTCCTTCCTTCCTTCTTTCCTTCCTTCCTTCCTTCTTTTTTCTTTTTTTTCTTTGAAATATAGCCATGTAAGATCTTTTGTCTCCTGGCTCCGAATCTTTTTTTTTTCTTTCTTTCTTTTCTTTCTGTAACCCAAGCTGACCTTGAATTATATAGTCTAGGATGGCCTTGAACTTTGAATTCTCCTGCCTTCACCTCCTGAGAGCTGGAATTATAGGCATGTGCCACCACACCTGGCTTTATGTGGTACTGGGGACCAAACTCAGGGCCTGTGTGTATTGGGCAAGTACACTACCAGCTGAGCTACAGCCCCAGCTCTGAGGAATCTTTCTTAGTGAGAAGAGGACAGCTTTTTAAGGGGGACAAGCTTTGACTGAGCATGCTCCGGATCTAATATGGAGTCTGCCTGAGGCTTTGCTCAGGATCCCATGGGGTCCCTGGGGGAAGGGTGCATAGCCTGGGGCCTAGCTAAGTGGCAAGTCTGTGTTTGGACAGCCATTGCAGAGAGTTCCCTTTGAATCAAGGGCTCCTAGCCTTAGAGGAGGCCCCAGGAATGCCTCAGAGCCCTTAGATACTGAGTCTCTCTAAGGAGCAAGAGACAGGCCAAGCATGGTTGAAGGAAGTCCAGGGCTTCAGAGGACTGTGGACTCCCTGGCCTGTAAGAGGATAGGAACTGAGGCTAGGTTTCTCTGAGGATGGGCTTAGGGTTGAAAGTTTCTCCCAAGAACTTAGGAGCCACAGGAAGGACCAGGAAAGGATCCTAGGCTCCAGAACAGGATAGGTGTGGGCAGGATTGGAGGGTCTAGAGCCAAGGTGGGGAACAGAGGGCACAGTGCTGGCATGGCATCCAGCCCAGGCCCCTCATAAGCCATAGGTGGGCCCTGGCCTCCCCTAACGTGGGTGGGGAAGGAAGAGAGGACCAAAGTCTTATCAAGAAGGTCTGGTGCACAGGGGTAAAGCTCAGTTCCAAGGTGGGAACTGCTGAGGGACAGAGGCTAGAGCAGGGGTGATGCTCCATCCCCTCATGGCTGACCCCTTGCTCCATTCCCACTACTCACAGGCCAGAGGCCAAGGCAGTATGACAAGTCACCAATGATCATCAGGAGGAAGACTGAGAAAGCACAGGACATTATAGGTTTAAATCACAAGAGCTACAGTGGGCAGACCTAGTGAAGAGGGTCTCATAAGGAATCAGCTGTGGAAGCTGCAGTGTCTTCCACAGCCTGAAACCCTAGAGCTCACAGCTTGGCACTGCTCTACACAAGGTAGCAGCCCACATACCACTGCCCACAGCTTCTAAAAGCTCTGGGGGAGCTTCTCTGTCCTCTCCAGTTACCACCTCCTCTGAGGAGCTGGGTCCTGAGGGTCTGGGACAAGAATGGGGAGGGATTCTGGAAAGCAGTGAGCAACTGTCCAGAAGGACAAGATTGACTGGGGACAGACTTTGAGGCCTGGGGCTCATGCAGATTGGGGGGGGGCATACAGTGAGGACACATCTAGAAGTCTAAGGCAGGGTTCTGAGGCCAGAAACCCTAAGGAATGCACAGGTTAAGTATGAGAACACCAATCCCCTGGCCTCTAGGTGACCCACATGTCTGGCTGCGATCTTAGAGGAGCCCACGAGGTTGCCGTCAGCATCAAGGACATCAATCCCTTCCTCAAGCTCCCCATACCGCATCAGGACCACGTTGCAAATATTGGCACTGGCTGGAAAGAGAGGGATACAGAGACAGGAAGTGAATGGAGGATGGCTTCTGGCCCAGCTCCACCCAGAACCAGGGCTCCCAACCCCCAAAGGTCCTGTGAAGGCAGAGGGTGGGGTCCTTCCGTTGTCCTGTCAGTCTGGTGAAGGATGCCCAGACCTGTGGAGACCTGGGAAGCAAAGATGGAAAATAATGGTCAGGGCTTTGGAGCTGCCATCTACAGAGGGTGCTGCTCTCCTCTTCTCTGGGGCAGGCCCCTAGGCAGAGGAAGCAGGTGCCCTCTGTCCCCAAGATGCATCCCCCTGGGGTCTGGTGCTCTACCACCAGCAGTTCAGCCCCTTGGGCCACTATATGCTCTTGAGAAATGCCACTCTTGATAAGCCACTCTTGATACACAGGCCCTGGTGTCTCACTAGAGTAAACCAAGAAATCTGCATCCATGACAGTAGGTGACAGAGTACATAGGAACCTCAGTACTCCCCTAGCACTGTCCCCTCATCATATGAAGAGAAAACTAGTTTAGAGAGGAAGGGTGTCTTAACTAAGGTCACATAGCAAAGTGAAACAGAATAGGCTGTGGTGCCCAAACCTCCAGGGACCCAGGAGTGGGAGGGTGGGGAAGCAAGCAGAGTTCTGCAATGATTGTGTTTCTTCACTTAGCTATAACATTCCTTTTTCCCAGCTGAGCTCTTGGGGACCTGGGCTAAGGTGAGGTGCTGGCTCCTTAGGTAAACACTAGGCATGGAGTCACCATCAGCAGATGACTGGTAGAGGTTGCCCTGCTCCCTTGATGGGGACTCACAAGGCCAGGCCATGGTTCACAGTGGTGTGCAGATGCAGATCTGGCCTGAACTCCTCCAGTCTGCTTCAAGATGGAAGTGGGGAGACTTGGGGGTGGTGGGCGGGTGGGAAGGGGGGTGACAAATGTAGAGCCTGCCTGCTCCACTCCTCCCCCCACAGCGCCTTGCTGTGTTTAAAGTTTTAATTTTTGCTAATTAATGTCAATTAATTTTGTATAATGAGTGTTTAATTTTGGGGAGTGTGTGAGCCTGGGAGCGACTGCAGTTCTGGGCTGCGAACACTGATTAGCATCAACACCTGCTGCTTCCCCCTCTCCAGTGGGGGGGCACCCGTGTTTGGGGAGCTAGAGGGTGGTGGGGCTCAGTGGGCAAGTAGAGTGGGGCCTGAGCCAATGGCTAGGAAGCCCTGCAATGCAGGGTGTTCACAGCTGGAGAATGGGGTTGTATAGGTGAGGGGCAGTGTGAGACCCAGGGCTCTCTGAGCCTCGGTCTCCTATTTCAATAAAGTGGGAGTGGAATAAGCCAAGGCGAAGACCAGGAGGCACTGCAGTCTTCAGAGAGGGAAAGCAGGAGAGCAAACACAAGCTCTAAGATGTATTTAGAGCACATATGCCATCTTTGGGCGTCTCTACTGTTAACACACAATGCTGAGCAACGCTCACTATGGCAGACCCTCTGCAGCAGAGACTTTCCTCACAGCCTCTGTCCCCATAGCAGACATACTTATCTGTCCAAGGAGCGGCTCTCAACCAGGGGCCATGTGGGGAGACATTTAGCCACAATCAAGAGACTTTTGATTATCATGATCTGGGGTAGGAATAGGGGTGTTACTGGCACATGGCAGGTAGAGACAGGGGATACTATTTAACAGTCTACAATGCACATGTCAGCCCTACAACAAAGAATTACCTGGCCCTAAATGTCAATAGTGTGGACACAGAGAAACCTGTATCATGTTTTGCTTTGTTTTGTTTTGAGACAGGGTCTCTCTGTGTAGCCCAGGATGTTCTCAAACTTGGAATCCTTCTGCTTCAGCCTCCAGAGTGCTGGGATATATAGGCATGCAGTATCTCATGGTCTGAGAAACTCTTACCTTAACTACACCCAGATACAGAATTAGGATGGTGGATCTGAGGTAAAAAAAGACTTGGGGTGGCAGGGTAGGACCTGAAGGAAGCTTTACCTTTCTCCCTATTCACTCCCAAAGACAAGCTCCTGATAGATAGATGCAGAATGCCCAGGACCAAAACAGGCCTTCTAGGGTGACCTTAGGAAGCTGGCACCTGGCAGCTCACCTCTGTTGGTGACCCATCCTCTGGTGGCTATAGGGATACTCTGCAACTCCTATTCCCCTGGGGCTGTCAGGCTGAGTTCCCAGGAGACACAAGAAAATCACTGGGTGGGAAAGTGGGATTTTTCTGCCAGAGAGGGTTGTTCCCTGCCCCAGAGAATGCCGTCTACCACTGTTCCTAGAAAGGAGGGTTACAGGACTGTGGTCCCAGTTCTTGGGAACATGAATGCTGTCCTCCAACCCCTGCTGACATTTCTTGGGTTAGAAGAGATATTGTACTTAGGGTCACCATAGGATCTCTGGGTGCAGGCTGTGCTTACACAGAACACCAGACTCTGCATCTACTTCACACCAAGTCAAGGGGAGCAGGAGACAGCTCAAATGACTGCAGTCTCTATTGTGTGGAGGGGGTCAGGGTCAATGGAAGACAGCCTACAGAGAATGTAGGATCAGGATAGCAGCTTACTTCCTCTCCACAGTTTATCCACAGCAGGACAGTACGAGACTTTCATTCAACCACAGAACTACATTAGACAAAAGATGAGGCACGGCCAGGTATAGTAACACATGCCTGAGATCCTAGTACTTGCGAGGTAGTGGTAGAAGGATCAGGAGTCCAGTCATCCTCAGCTACATACTGAGTTCGAGGCCAGCATGGACTACACCAAGTCATGTTTCAAACCCCCTCCTCCCTAAAAAAAGAAGATGAAGCAAAAAAAAAAAAAAAAAAAAAAGTGAAGCCCAGCCTCTCTCCTCACCTCAGCCAGCCTCTCCAGGATACCACTGGGGGACAATGCTCCCTGTCATCTAAGCTTCCCAGACCAACAAAGGAGAAAACCCTAAAGCTCATCTCAGAGTGAAAGCAACACACTGCAACTACGTGACACAGGCCAGCATCCTTTAAGGTGACCGCCTATAAAGATAGCACATGCCCTATGATCTCTTCTGATGACTGCATACAATAGTCCAGCTACTACAAACACCTAGCCATCATCCTAGGGCTGAAGAAGGAAGACACATGACCCATGTAGGAGTCCCATTCCTCACCCAGGATGTTTGATTCTGCCATATCCCCTCAGACTTTCTTTCCCAGATCTCTCCCATCATACTTCTTGCATGGGGGTGGCAGGTGGGGAGAATATGCATTGGTCTCCCTTCTGACACACCAGCAGATCTACTATTGACAATATCAGCAAGTTAATTAAGCAGTCTATTAGTGATAATGTTAAGAAAGCTGGCACATTTTCAGCTGACTGACATTCAAAACTCAGAGATAACTGACACTGGAGCCTCAATACTGGAGATGTCACAAGATAAGATGAGAGAGAGAAAGAGAGAGAGAGAGAGAGAGAGAGAGAGAGAGAGAGATTGATTCACACTGATGGCAAGCTCAGTGTCAAGACCTGAGGAAAACACTTTCTTGACTGCCACAGATGTTCTCACATCGACCCACTGCCATGCAAAATCATGCAGAAAGCGAAGTGCTAATGAAGCACCAGGAGTAAAGGGGACCGTGGAGAACAGAAAGAACAGCAGAGAGTGCAGGGCACTCTCAGGAGCCCACCTCTGAACCTGCACAGAACAGACTAGTAGGTAAGCGGGGCTGGAGCAGCAGCACACTGTCTGCTGGGAAGGCAGCTGCATCAATCCTCAGAGAAGGAGAACCATTCAGACACTCAAGAGCCCCAGGCCACTGATTTGGGGAAAATATGATCCCCTAACTTCTCAACTCTGAGATGCATTTTTCCACGTCTTAATATCCTAAAAATTATGATGTATGTGGTCAGGGAGCTGGCTCAATTGGTAATGTGCTTTCCATGCAACCATGAGGACCTGAGTTCAATCTCCAGAAACCATGTAAAAAGCTGGATGTAGTGGTTCCTACCTATAATCCCAGCCCTGAGGAGGTGGAAGACAGGAGGATCCCTAGGGCTCCACCAAGCTGACACACTGAGTCCAATTCCTCGAACCCTTGTGGTGGAAGGAGAGAACCAACTCCTGTAAGTTGTTCTCTGACTTAAAAACACACACTGTGGCACAGAAGTGCACACTCATGAACACATGCACACATGCACAAATAAATGTAAAACAAACAAACAACAACAACAAAACAAGGTGGATGGCTTCTGGGGAGCAACCCCTGAGGTTAGCCTCTAACTTCCATATGCACCTGCACACACACACACACACACACACACACACAACCATGTGTGTCACAATGGCTGTTGTGGTACAGGGGAAGCTTACCTGCTACCCAATACAACTGCCTAGACCATGTGAATTTGACTATGGCAAGAAGAATCTCTTCATTCATTTGTCACCTCAGCTGACCACAGTAATCCACACAGAACTTGAACTCAAACTTAGATTCCTAATTGTTGCCTGAAACATCTTTTTAGAACTTACACTATAATGGTTCACGGACATGGAACGTTATTGTACATGCAGAAGATCGTCTGCCAGATACCAGGCAATGCAATTAAAGGCAGTAGAAATTGCCAAACCATAGATAGCTACCCTAAAGAAATGCTTGCCCATATGCACAAAGAGACATTTACAAGGATGTTAATTATAGCACTGTTTGTAAGAGCAAATAATTAGAAACAAGCTAAATGTCCACCATTAGGGAACTCACAAGGAAGACCTCCAAAACAAACTACTCTGTGAAGAAAGCTACTGAGAGCAGGCAGGTGAGTGTCATCGGAATAGTCACGTACATGTGCATAAATTCACAGGTAATGTTTCAGAAGGCTCCTGTCTCCTGGAGTTGTCCTTGGAGAAAAGAATTCAATTTGAGACTTAGGGCCTGCCATTTTTTTTTCTTTACACTAAATGTTTCTATATTATTTGAATTTTACAATGGGAATGCAATCATGTTTTATTTATTTAAAAATCCATCTTAGAAATATGGAA